TGCACGCGCAAAGATTGCCCATGAGCGAACCAGCAGTAACGCTGGCTAGAACCCACCCCTGCTGAGAGTATGCGTTATTATAGGGATGTTAAAGGGAAGACAAATAATTTATATAAGTTTGAAAGGTATTCAAGTCTGGAAAAACTGAGGGGTTGAGAGAGAAATAATGAAAAATATTAGCTAACTTTAAACAAACGGTCAGCATGGATTTAAAGACTTATTCAGTGGTGAAGAGACAAGAATGTTGTAGATGGCACATTATTTTAACAGCCATGTTAACAAGTATTAAAACAGCCATGCAATAAATTTGAACCTTTGCTTGCATGTTTAGTTTGCTACCCCACTAGTATTTGGGGGGGAGGGGTTACATGTTTGCTCAAGAGTGTAGCTTTGTTCCTATTCAGGTGTAACTTAACTGGTCAGTTCATAATCCTGGTGTTTGTTTGGTCGGTGAGGTTAATATGCCCCTGCAGATTTTCTTTATTTCATTTTTGTTACTGAGCTTGGTTATGAGGATCTTATTGGAGCTGCTGAAGATAACATAAGATAAACAAGTCTATTTTTGTATTTTCTAATTAGAAGGCTGATTATGATATTTTGCAGAAATATTCAGAGGGGATCACTATTGTGACACAAGCTCGGTCCTTTTTGCATCATTATCAGTGATCTTGCACGTATGTGTAAAGGGGCACGTTTGTGTTGCAGGGTCATCATGCTCTTTGCAAATGCAATCATATTTTCTAGTCATCCTAGTTTGAGGAGTCACATACTTCAGAGTTTGTAAATTCTCTCTTTGAAATTCTGTTCTTTATTCTTTTAAATGGGGTGGTTTTGGAAATGGAAGCAGTCAAAATTTATTGCTATATTATAAAATAGAATTTATACAGATCCTGCACAGTGTGTGAAGGCCTATTTTTATGTACACCAAGATTCTTAATAGCATTCAGGTTTCTTACTCTTGAGAAATAAATTCCTTTTATCCTTACAGGCTGTACCCGCAAAACCAGAATAATTGATGTAGTCTACAATGCATCCAATAATGAATTGGTGCGCACAAAGACCCTGGTCAAAAATTGCATTGTCCTCATTGACAGCACTCCATACCGACACTGGTATGAAGCCCACTATGCCTTGCCTCTTGGGCGCAAAAAGGGTGCCAAGCTGGTAGGTGACATGTTATTCTATTCAGGGGTTTAAAAATATATTTGTCTTCTGATGATGATACCATTAACCAGTTCTGCTGCTGAAAGACAATGATGGATATCGACTGATCTGAAGGAGACATGAGACCAAGCTGTGTAGGATCCCTTTTCAATATAGAACATCTTAGTGCTGAAGTATGGAGGCAAATGTTTTGAATAAAAAGGATTCTATAAATTACTTTTTGTGGATTCCAATTTGAAAAATGCTGCTAATCTGTTATCCCGTCAATGCTCAGATCACAATTTATTTGGAAATTGTTTTAAAGTAGTAAAGAGTTCAGCACACCGGTCATGCTGTGTAAAGGTTGTAATTAGGAGAATGCACAATACTCAAAGCATTTTGATTGCCCTGGGTATTAGCTGAAACAAAATCTGGAGAAATTTGACAGGATGAGTAGGACAAGACCTGTACATCTCACACCTATAGCTCTTCATCTAAATTGGCCTATATATGTACATTTATTATTTGTAAATTCCTAGTGCCTTCCTCTGACTGCCACTATCTGTGTTTATTTAGACACTGCACATCTAATTGGCACGCTTATATTTCCAGTTCTTTCCTGACTATAAGGAACTGGGCATTAGTGGCTATAGGGAAGTAGAAGGGGGAAATGGTGCTTGGAAAATGGGGGTGATAGGCTGGTTGAATAAACTGCTGTTCAAGCTGGGGAAATTGGCAGTGACCAAAGCTAATCTGACTTTGCAGTTTGTCCAACCAGATAAAATGGCCTCTCCCACCTTAGATTTTCCAAGTGGTTTCCTTTCTCTTCCACTTATGCACATAACATGTTTTGGTCTAGGCATAGACAAGTTTTTATGTGCAAGTTTTTAAGTTTTGCACAATGTTAGTTTTTAATTTTACAACCGATTATCTGGAATCCTTTCAGTCTGGATTCAGGCCTGGCTACAGCACGGAAACTGCTTTGGTCGCACTGATCGATGATCTCTGGAGGGCCAGGGATAGGGGCCATGCCTCTATCCTAGTGCTCCTTGACCTCTCAGCGGCCTTCGATACCATCGACCATGATATCCTTCTGCGGCGGTTGTGGGAGTGGGAGGCACCGTTCTTCGGTGGTTCTCCTCCTACCTCTCGGACAGGTCGCAGTCGGTGTTGGTCGGAGGGCAGAGGTCGACCCCTAGGTCCCTCAATTATGGGGTGCCACAGGGTTCGGTCCTGTCCCCCCTCGTATTTAACATCTACATGAAGCCACTGGTTGAGATCATTCGTTGGCACGGGATAAAATACCATCAATATGCGGACAATACACAGCTGTATCTGTCCGCCCCGTGCCAACTCAGTGAAGCGGTTGAAGTGATGTGTCAGTGCCTGGAGGCTGTCAGGCTCTGGATGGGAATGAACAAGCTTGCACTCAATCCTGACAAGACTGAGTGGCTATTGATGCTCCCTCCCAAAGATTGGCTATGTACTCCATCTCTCAGGCTGGGGGGGTGAAATTATACGCCCCTCAGAAAGGGCTCACAATTTGGGAGTCCTCCTGGACCCGCAGCTGACTTTAGAACATCATTTGTTGGCTGTGACCAAGGGGGCATTTGCCCAGGTTCGCCTGGTGCACCAATTGCGACCCTACCTGGACCTGGAGGCCCTTCGAATAGTCACTCACGCCTTTGCGACCTCAAGACTGGACTACTGTAACATGCTCTACATGGGGCTGCCCTTGAAGAGTATTCGGAGACTGCAGCTTGTCCAGAATGCAGCCGTGCGAGCGATTGTGGATGCACCTCGATACACCCACGTGACACCTATCCTCCGCGAGCTGCACTGGCTGCCTATTGGGCTCCGGACATGCTTCAAGGTGCTAGTCATTACTTTTAAAGCCCTACATGGTATCGGACCTGGGTACTTGAGAGACCACCTCCTGCCAGTTACCTCCCTACGACCGATCAGATCCCACAGATTAGGTTGCCTCCGAATTCTATCTGCCAGCCAGTGCCGACTGGCAAATCCCCGGGGGAGGGCCTTCTCTGGCTGCTCCGGCCCTCTGGAACGATCTCCCCGTGGAGATCCGGACCCTCACCACCCTCCAGGCTTTCCGCAAAGCCACGAAGACCTGGTTGTTCCGGCAGGCCTGGGGCTGATGAATTTCCAGCCCCACTTGAAATGTTGTGACTGCTGTTGGTTTTTACTCTGTCTGTCCTTTGTCTTATTTGTATCCCCTTTCCCCCTTTGGTTGTTAGCCGCCCCGAGTCCCTCGGGAGTGGGGCAGCATACAAATTAAATAAACATTCAAACATACAACCCCCAAATCTGCTGAATGTTTCAGGTGTTTGTGGAATTATGGGAAATAACAACGGCTTGCACTTCTGCTTTTGTTCCAGACCCCTGAGGAGGAAGAAATTTTAAACAAAAAACGTTCAAAGAAAATTCAAAAGAAATATGATGAACGGAAAAAGAATGCCAAGATCAGTAGCCTCCTAGAGGAGCAGTTCCAACAAGGAAAGCTACTTGGTAAGATGTAAAAGATAGAAAACTGAGCTTGCTAGACACAGAAGATGTACTATTTTGATAAATTATGTGATGGTGGCAGTCTATACTCAGAGTTGACGAAGTCACAGCTTCTTTATTCTAGGGCAGGATTTACTTGTTTCAAATCTTGGTATAATATTTAACTTGACAATTATTAGAGCCTTTGCCTAGTTCTTGATACTTTATACGAGTTAGAACCAGAAATTCAAGTGTCAGGGGATTCCCATGTTATCCTGCATAATTGACCAGGGATTTGAAGTTGATCTTGTGATGAAAACTTTGTCCAGTTCTGCTGCTGAATGTGAGTGGTGACATTTCAAGTTCTGAAGGTAACTTCATCTGTAGGAAGGCTGTTAAGTGTGTTCACCAGTATTAATTGACACGTTTTCCTTTAATTTTGTCCTTTCCTTTTTCAGCTTGCATTGCCTCCAGACCTGGACAATGTGGCCGAGCAGATGGCTACATTTTGGAAGGCAAGGAACTAGAATTCTATCTGAGGAAGATCAAGGCCAGAAAAGGCAAATGAATACATTTATTGTATCCAACAGGCTTAATAAATATCTCAGAGTCTTGTAAATGATTAATGTGGTTATTTATGGGCATTGGGACAAAGCATATCAGTGGTCAGTGTTGGAGTGGAATTTATACTAATATTGTGGACTGTAGATTGGAAGAAAGTCTCGGCTTGTTTCAGTCTGGTGCCAAATGTGTTTCCTTGTAGGCCAAGCTATAACTTAACTGCAGCCCCAAGAAAAGCAATAAGATTGAAATTTCTCTCACTGATCTTTTCAAAAGCTATTTAGTTTTCTAAACTTGTTGCATTTTTATTTGGGAGAGGACCTGTTGCTGCCATTCCCCAGTTGAAAATGGAGGATAATGAGAGAGATTTTCATAAATGGTTGTAACGTGAAATTATATAACTATGCAATTGCATGAATTGTTGATAGAAAGCTGGACAAATGCATAAGCTAAATTCAGCAATTGAAATATAATATTAACCAAATCTAAATGTTGCTCCTTCATCGAGAGTTTTTATATTTATGCAGATTAATCTTTTTCAGTGCCCATATTTTCCTCCTTAAGTCAATCTTAATGTTATTGAGTCAGTTTCACTTGAAGGTATGATTTACCTCTGAATAAACAAGATTATGCTGTTAAATTTTGAAAATGCATGGATTCCAATTAAATAAATTAAGAATTAACACACAGTATCTTCCTAGTTGAATATTTGGCTCATCTGGATTTTACTATTATTCAGATACCTAAATTATAAAAAGTTGCAGAACACACATGTTTAAAAGATTATTTATTAATCATAAGCTAAACGAAGTTTGGCTAGGTTATTAAAGAAAATACATATCTCTGTTAATATATCTGGCACAAAGAACCCAGACAGCTAAATACAGAAGGCACAAAGAACTCAAGAACAACATGTTTGGTTAATTTTGAGTGAAAAGGGGTCTATGACCAAATAAATGGCAATGTGTTTACCGTAATGGAAGTGACTTGTGGATTGTGGGCTGCTTGGGGTGATTGGAAGGAGAACATAGTCCAGTTTTACGTACCAGTAAATGTGTGGGTTTTTTTTACTTTTCTTGGAGTTCAGAAATTTATTTCCCAGCAACCATATTTGCTTTTTTGTGTGCTGATGAAAATGGTCAGGATCTCTGGTCATTAAAAATATAACCTGAAAATATCTTCATAGTTCAGGGGTGTCAAACTCAATTTTATTGAGGGCTGCATCAGGGTTGTATTTGACCTTGGGGGGCAAGGGTGAGTGGCCAGCTCAATGTTATTCAGGGAAACCTATGGTGGCCCAAGCACTCTGCCAGTGGAAATGGGTCCCTAAGCTCTGTTTTTGGCTGTGACTGCCTCCTGCAACCCCCTGCCAGTGAAAACAGAGCTTGGGGGGGGTGGGGGGTGGCATGTGTGGTTCTCCCAAGCTCCCTTTTCTCTGGCAGATGCACCACAGGCTGGTCGTCTTGTTTCCAGGGCCAGATCTAAGCACCCCACAGACTGGATCCGGCCCATAGGCCTTGAGCTTGACACCCCTGCCATAGTTGATCAAATAATTGCAGCCAGAAATTTGATGATCTTAGCTAGATGATGGCTGTTCAATACTGCTGATGCTGTCATCTAGGGATCCTATCACAGTAATAATGGGTATATCTTTTCTCTCTGCATTGTGAGGCATACCGGTTTCACTAATTCCTGTTTCCTCGTCCTCTGTCTCTTCCTCGTCAATACGGCCAACTGCCTCTGGATCTTCTCTGCGATTGAAGTTGGGACTGGCAGAAGGAAAGATACCCTCAGATCTCAAGCGCAGTAACTGAGGGTGGGAAATCCGGTTGCCCTTCCCAAAATTTTTGAGGCTAATTGCTGGAGAGGCGGCAGCAGCATAAAAGCGGCTGAGCAAAGGTGTCTGTATGCGGTTCATGCTGGGTGAGGCATCGACCTGCTGATTCTGCTCTGGGTCATCGCTCATCCTACACAAAGGGGGAAAGACAATTCAGTACATGCACAACAGTGAAATAAAAAATCAGGATGATTCCTGGTTCCATTCCAGCTGATAGTGATAGTGACTTGGTATATATAACACGTGAAGCAATAAATTTACTGATCTAGGTACAAATTAACTAAGTACACTGACTTAGCCAAGGTGATAGGAATGGTCTGACCCTAGCTGATAACTCCTTTAGCATACTAAAAGTGGTTTGAGAGCTAAGGAAGGACAGATCTGTGTTTCCCCAAAAATAAGACAGGGTCTTGTTTTCTTTTGACCCCTGAAATAAGCCTTATTTTCGGGGAGTTCTGATTATTTTTAAGATGCAGGTGGTCCCTTAACCGCCGCCTGCGGATCAGGTGATCCAGAAAGGGCCAGAAGTTCTGTCTCTGTTTCTGCCACATTCTTGCCATCCCTAGCATCGCTGGACCTGCTGCTCTTTTTGCAGCCACCACTAAGAGAAGGGGCACAGTAGCTAGGGTTTGCGGGAGCAGCCTCCACGAGGCTGTTCCATGTGGATGGCAGGTGCATATGGAGCATGTTTCCCACTCCCAGGAAATGGCGGGGACCAGCTGCACATGCATTTAAATATTTTCGGGAAGGGCTTACTTTAGCACATATGCTCAAAAGCCCGATTGGGCTCATCCAGGGAGGGTTTGTTTTTGGAGAAACGGTATAGTGACGCACCTATGCTGTGGTAGACTCCAGTAGAGTGTTCTCCAGTCAATTGCTTCTAGTAAATCTGTTGTTGAGTACAACAGAATACCTGTGCTATACATTGCCATCTGTGGGAGGTGTTTGAAATTTCACATTTGGTGTACTCTTAGTGCCCTTCTAAATGTAGAATTTGCTTTAATGTAGAATTTGTTTTTATTTGCAGAAACAGGTGTTGCTACGTGAATTTTGCCCCATTTTACGACCTTTCTTGCCACAATTGTTAAGTGAATCACCACAGTTGATAAATTAGTAACATGGTTGTAGAGTGAATCTGGCTTACTCCTTGATTTTGCTTGTCAAAATATTGCAAAAGGTGATCACATGACCTTGAAACACAAGTATCTCAGTTGCCAAGCATATGAATTTTGATTACATGCTCATAGGAATGCTACAAAGGTCAGAAATGAAAATGATCATAAGTCATTTTTTTCAGGGCCATTGTAACTTTGTCACTAAATGAACTGTTGTATGTCGACTACCTGTATTTGATTTAATTGTATAATGGCTAACTTAAATAAGCAGCCTGTATCATATAGTTTTATGGACTGCTTTTTCCCCCCTTCATAGATGACTTTAAATAGGTTCCTAATCTCTAAGCAGACCATCTTCTGTGAGTGATAAACAAGCTTCTCTTGGGCTATAAATCCCATCGTCCCAAACTTCATGAACATAGTGGTTATAGCTTATGAAAGCGAGAATTTAATGATATTTTGGAAGGAAGATGGATACATGGGATTGTAGGCGAGCTGAGAGCCAAGAGCTGAGAGCCAAGAGCCAAGGTGGCGCAGTGGTTAAAAGCAGCACTGCAGGCTACTGCTAGATCAGCAGGTCAGCGGTTCAAATCTCACCGGCTCAGGGTTGACTCAGCCTTCCATCCTTCCGAGGTGGGTAAAATGAGGACCCAGATTGTTGGGGGCAATATGCTGACTCTCTGTAAACCGCTTAGAGAGGCCTGAAAGGCCTATGAAGCGGTATATAAGTCTACTGCTATTGCTATTGCTATTGCTGTGCTAGTATGGTTAAAATTCAGTCTGGTGCATCAGTTAAAGCCAGCTGCAGGTCATGGAAGCTTATGACTTTAATAACATTTATTAGTTGGAAAAAGTTACCAGATTACAACTGAATATCTAGGAGGAGCTTTGTTGCATCAATTTGATTTCCATCTAGTATCAATAAATTGCCCTATTACAGTGCTTGTTGATACTTTCATGAATTCCAATCATGCTATTTATTCCTCTTCAATTTCCTTAAAATTTATTTCAAGTAGAAACTTGCTTGCCCCCAAACTGCCAATGTGCAGTTCTAAAGAAAATTAGAAATTTTCCAGGATAGGCATTGGCAAGAATAAATTATCTTCCATAGACAGGCTCCAAACTTTTTATGACAGTGTGAATAGTCATATGTTACATGATAGATTATATGTATCAAGTTATTTTATTGATTTGGGCGAGGAAGTTCACAAAACCAAAGCTGTGATTCTATCAGGCAGTTGTCATATTTGGTAGCCTCAAAAGGTAGTTGTCTGACGACAAATGCATTTGGCAATTAAACTTACCGCATATCAAAGGTGGAGCCCATGAAGGAAGGTTTCAAGGTCTCTGCCAATGTGGCTGTTGTGTAGGGTGGTTGAGCTGTAGATTCATTCCAATATTTGTCCTTCCCAGTTGGAGGCAGGTTCTGGTACATGTCATCCACTGAAAGCAACGATACCTAGCCAAAACAAAGAATTGTTCTGTTTTTGAAGAGTAGCTGGTGAAACTACATGTCTATTGATTACAGTACTTTAATGTTAGATTCAAATATTTGCTTTGCATAATTGTTCCTTTTAATGTCTGCTTTTGCAGAGAAAAAAAAAGAAAAATAGATGTTGGGACTATTGGAAATTATTCTTATGGTAGGCTTTCAGTGCCATTTTGCCGTATGGTCTGAAATTAAATACGTCTGACAGCATCAGATGGAGAAAGGCTGGGATTACCCATATTTCCCAGATTAATTTCATGCTGTTGAAGCTGCCATAAGGATATTTTAAATCATTAGCAATAGTTAACATCTTGGTGCACCAATTTCTAGACCAGGTATAATTTGTGTTTCTAAGTAGCGTATTTTAAACATTTATGTAACACTCACCTGAAGATTTCTGTCTATCAATTTATTAGTTTCAAAATCATCATCATCCTCTCCAAAGGGATTAATTATTTGTTCAGCCACCTATATGGGAAGGAACACTTTATCAATATTTTAAAGATAGCTGTGAATCTGCTTAAAATGAACAGCGTGTTTGTAAATCTTACTCTAGCTATGCATAAAGGCTAGCTATGTAGCAAGAATATTGCTGCTCCTTAATAGTCCAAAGTCATTCTGTTAAACAGAAATAAATGGACCTTATGTAGATTGTGATGCAACTTAAAAACATTAAAAAGCTGAGCTTCACCAGCTACATCTTGTTGCCTGAAGAGGAAAGGATAGTTGATAGATTCAGCAAACTTTCACTGGAGAAAGATGAAGTGTTTTGAGCGTCTGGTTTGCTTCATACAAGTTTATTCCACAAATAAAATCTGTGGAACAAACTGGCATGAAGCCAACCAAAAGCTCAAACATGAAAGTTTGTGCAATCTATTTAAGACTAGATTGACTGTAAAGGTAAAGATTCCCCTCGCACATATGTGCTAGTCATTCCTGACTAGGGGACAGTGCTCATCTCCCTTTCAAAGCTGAAGAGCCAGCGCCATCCAAAGACGTCTCCATGGTCATGTGGACGGCATGACTAAATGCCGAAGGTGCACGGAATGCTGTTCCCACCAAAGGTGGTCCCTATTTTTCTATTTGCATTTTTTATGTGCTTTCGAACTGCTAGGTTGGCAGAAACTGGGACAAGTAATGGGAGCTCAGTCCATTATGTGGCGCTAGGGATTCAAGCCACCGAATTGCTGACCTTTCGATCAACAAGCTCAGCATCTTAGCCACTGAGCCACCTTTCAGTGACTGTAGGACAGATCATATGGCAGGGGTTCTTTGAGCTAGTTATTTTTATTAAATTATTACTGTAATATGAAAAATCATCAAGCTATTTGCTAAAAGCCAACATCCTCACCTTCAGCCACCCAGCATAAAAGAAGAACTGTAGGAGTGTGGGCAAGGGAACATATATGTCTAGATCTCCATCCAGGAACTGGCGGCCAACCACACAAAATGCAAAGAAAGAATAGACCGCTATAGTGACCACCTGTGGAGAAGATGGCATTCATGGTATTAGACATCACTGGGTACCGCTGGGCTCAGTGATTTTTTTAAGCAATCCATTTTCCCATTTCAATGAGTTTCTTGAAACCTTTATTTCATTCACATTCACAACCCACTTATAAAACAGTGACAATTCCAAATATTTCACTGTGGCTCTTGATTTTTTATTTGTTTTAATTTGCTTTGGTAGCTGTAGCAGCAATCACAAACTTTTGTTTATATGTTTCCTGTTGCACTGACCTGTGTGTACACTAGGGGGATACTGATCCAGTCAAAGTGAAAAAGCATGCTGCATTTGGCACGGTAGAGGTTCAGTTCCTGCGTGGAAAAACCCAGAGGCTTCAGAATTTGCAGCTTTGTTAAACAGTTTGTTCCTGTATTGCAATATCGATCTTTGAGGCTTCCTTTAAATTGATGTGTAATTTTCTGTTAGGCTTATAGATAAGATGGATAAATGTGTTCAGCCAATTCATGGAATCGGGGTTATTTTGCAACATAGGTGGGATATGTGAAGTTAAAATCATAATGTAAGAGGCAACAAACTGAAGTCACTTTTATATAAATTATAATATTTGTTAGATTTATATAGATTAATAGGGTTTTTTGCCAGATGTTGGACCTCAAAAAGGCAAGAATATCCCAAGAATGCCAAGAATAGCCCTGGCAAATGATGCAAAATAAGAATCGGAATAGTTTAAACTTGGGTACTTATAACCTCCTCCATTGTTCCTTGATCTTACATCCATGAGCAATCTGAGTGCCACATCATCGCGGACCCTCCCTTCTCGTCGTGCCTGCGCAGCTAGATTGGTGAACCACACACAGGGGATCCAATACTTGTTGAAGTCTGAATGGAGACTCTCATATTTCTTACGTTCATCCTGTGTCATAAAACCTGTAAGGGGGGTGGGGATGATATGAGAAATTGGCTTGGAAGCAGGTTCAAACAACAGACTGAGTCACATTACTACAGTAATACTTTGTACTGTATCAGGACGAAGGAATATTAGGTATGTTCAATGCCCTGAATTTATAAACATAATAAAAGTGGGATAATAAAAATCTTTTTAAAAAAGTAGAACAAGCATTTGACAGGAACCGTATTATGGATTGAGGAAATTTAAACTGAAAAAGTGCAAGGTCTCTTCTCAGTTCCTCGCTTTGTAACTCCAATTTCTCAAAAACCACTCGCTTGAAAGATTTAAAGTACAGCATCCTTTCCCAATCTGCCTGGGGGATTCTGAGAAGTTAAAAAGGCCACTAAAATTGTAGGCCAACAAACTGGGGAAATTGGATTAGAATATGATGCATTATAGGCAGCCTATGTAGGGATTATTCTGAGTTCTCGAATTAGCTACTAGCAAAAGCAGTTTTAGTGATGTCCCTGAAGAAAACTTTGCATCCAGATGGTTTTATAGAGATGCAGTAAAAAATAAACAGATGAAGCATTAAAAAAAAGTTGTCCCTAACCTTGTGCCCCCTAAATGCCAGATATAGTCCTAATGTTCTTGAGGGCACCATAGTGAAGAAGTCTGCCATTGAGTAGATGAGCCAAGGCAAGGACTGAGAGCCTTGCAAAGATGATCAATATTGGCTTCTCCTGTGATTTCCTGTTTTTCTCCCCCCCCCCCTTTCCAGGCAGTAGCCCAAAGTGAGAAGTTTCTCTGCATCCACTTTCACACACAGACACACACACAGCCTTAAATCTTTCCTTTCTAGTCAGGCTCACCAGCTTCTACGATGTGGTCCATAGTGGGGAATCTCTTAAGCACTCTGGTGCTGACTGAACGCAAGATCAGGACAGAAGATAAGTTGGCGTAACGAATGAGTGTGCGCCGCAAAATCCGACCCTTGTCATCTTTCCCATGAACGTTGCTGGAAATGACACACATCAGCTGATCTGGCAGGGGAATGCTGGTGTATTGGGCCCACCAACGGTTCACAATCAGTGTGACGTAAAAACCTGCCAACAGAGAAGTTCAATGATACTAAAAGAATATGGTGTCTGTTCAAATTTCAAATGATTCATTTCAAATGATTTTTTCTGCACTACAAAAGCTATCTGACACGTACGACAGATTTGAAAGGAAGCTGGATTACTTGCTGCTTTTAACATCAAAATATGAAGAAAAAAGTGAGAATTTTGAATGTTTGAATGTTCCTGAAATACAAACGAAGGATGTCAGAGATGAAGATTTTCAATTTGCTGACATTCCGGGCATCTGGTT